AAATCGTTATATAATTATTGCTTAGTTGAAATGGATTTTGATCAATAGTTTTGCATCAATCATATTGTTGTCAGCATGTTTAGGGTGAAAATGGAATGAAAGTTAAGTAAAGCGATTAGTGGATACTACGTAAATTGTTTATTTATAGAATGGCGGCATGGTGTCATCGTCAATTATTATTTAACCCTTTGCTGACGAGAGGCTAATATATCCGCCTTCAATGGATTATTGGTGGAATATTGAATAGATTTAGCGTCGTAATGTTGTATGTTTTTGTGTACATACACTTTATCTCCATTCTAAGGGGTTGGATGTAGAAGGGAATGGAATAATTTGCGCGGATTTCGTGGAATGTGACATTGTGCGGGAAATAATGGATGAGTACAATCTTGGGGGGTATTTAGGGGAGCATTCATGGCTGATTAGTTAATTTCTCTTTTGAGCGTGTTCACGTGGGGGAGCCAGACGGCGGTGGGGAATCAATTAAGTCCGGATGGAATGGTTTCCATGAAAATGAGAAGAAGACGACCAAGTCGTGACACTGTGTCCAAAAGCGGAATAATAAAACACACCAGAGAAAAATAAAAGAAAATAGCGAAGACAAAACGCGAGTGATGTAGAAGGAAGGGAGTAGTAGATGTCGACGAAGAAGTGGAATTGTAATTTTGGCACAGCTGTCCTCTACAGAATGTATAATGCAATTAGAATCCTAATAGGGAACATGCTATAAAGTTGGAATTATTCTAAAGGTAAAAATAAGGGATGGGGTATAACAAAAAAAAAATATGGATAGTCCTCACCTCTGGGGCGGCTGGGGACGATTCGCTGAGTTTTAATCAGACAATCGACGAGAGTCGTGCTGACTAGGACTCGGCGTAGATATGGAATTATGGATGCAGGACGTGATCCGCTTGGAATATGAGATTCACCGCACCAACTAAAACCCCTGCATGGTGAAATAAGAACTGACAGAGGTTCTCGTAGGAAGAAAAACAAGAAGAGAAGAAAAAAAAAAGCATATATAAAATAGCACATACACACATTCTTTTACGGCACGCAAATGTGTTATAAAGTTCTTTTCTGGGGAGCTTAGAGCAATAAAGGAAAATCCCGCGGCCAAATGTATAACAAATCTTCTTCCTTCTCGCAACACTTCTCGTCTGTATATTTTTCGCTTCTCTTCCGTCTCGATTTTTTGTTTTATTTCTTTGGCTTATATTATTTCCTCGAGAAATATAATTTATTCGGAATTGGAAAAACTGCGCCCCTCCCGTCTTCTCATCCTCAGGAATATTTCAATTACAAACGGCAGAAGCAGCGCATTTAATAAACCAGTTTAACGGGAACAACAGGAACGGGGAAAGACTTCCAAAGGGAAGTAACGGATGAACGAAAGGGAAAGAAACAACAAGAACTGTATGAATAAGTAAACACGGGAAAATGTAATAGACTCGCAAAACGGCTTAATTAAAATAATATTAATGCACAATGGAGTCTTTAGGGGAAGGTTTGTGTCTTTCTCATTTTCTGCCAGACAAAGCTGAGTTGGACAAATAAATAAATCAAAGGGAATTCTTAATTGATTGATGAATGGCGCAGAGACAAAGAAGATGCATTCGCGAGACTTAATCAAACGTATCTTCCGAGTGTCCTGAGATATCATCATCATCAGGAGATGATGCTCCTTCACCTTGAAAGCATCCTTGCTGCATCATTGATTCACTTCCTTGACTCTTCTTATTCTTCTTACCACTCCACACCTTCCGAAGGCGTGTACCAAACATATGGTTTTAAAAGGGTTCAGGATGTTTGTTGAAGTCCCCATGATGGATAACGGTGGCAGTCAAGCAGTCCCATTATTAGGCCCTTTGTGCTATCCTCTATTCACAACTAAGTAGATTATTTCCGTTATTACATTGTACAACTATATCCTCTATGTTTAGGGTATGCATCAAGGTTTGAACAGTTCCCTTCACATAACCATAACCAAGATATCACTACTATCCATTCGAGGATAGAAACCAATAATTTTGTAAATGATTTTTGCAAATATTACTGTTTTATAATTTAAAAATGAAAATAATACAGTAACTAAATTTAATATCAAAACAGTGAAATGAAGATAGATTGCACATGCACATATGTTTTAGTTAAAAGAGAAGATGGAAATGCAGGAATATGAAATTAGGTTTAGGTTGCAGCTTGCCCTATTTGCTCAGCGGAGATATTCAATGCGGAGGAATAATAGCAAACGGAGGATAGCGATAACTGTTCTATTATTCAAACACACCCCAGATATAACATGTGTTTCTTCGTCTGTCGGCGGTGTAAAATTTATGATGCCTCTTTAAAGCAGCCTAGACGTGCAAAGATTGGGCAAA